ACTGGCTCCTGAAAAATATAAACTGAATAGCCTCCTCTCCCTCAAGCCTCTTATTTTTAAAGTACCTACTGTTTTTTCTTACCTTGCAAAACAAAAAGACTTTAGGATGATCCTTTCAAATAGAAACTGCCCAGGACCACATAGCAAGTGAATGTGGAGTTTGACTACATCACATCTGGAACCAAAGTGATATATACCCTTTTCAAAAGTAAGGCCTTGCCTCTACTATATTAAGCTCACACGTTACAAAAAAAAAAAAAAAAAAATCCAGCTGAATAATCTCCTAGTGAAACAGGCTTAAGATCAATGTGTTTTAGGCTCAAGGGCTGTCATAACAGTTAATCCTATTTTCCCAGCCATCTATTGCAATGTATTTGAGAAAAGTTGATTTTATCAGTTAATTAGCCAGTCCTTAGGAAATTACTTGAACTTCCTTCAGCTGTCCCATTCTTTTTGAAACACAAATCTAAAAAGAACACTTCATGGGGAAAATGGGGTCATTTGGATTTTAAAACAATTCTCTAAATTATATTTGGCATGGAGGCCATGATTTTGAAATAAGAATTTATCATGCCCTTTCCTCAGCATAAAATATTTTTAATTATTTAAGATTCTGACAGGTAAATATTCAGTATATCACAACTGAAACAAATTAGTGAGATTAAAAAAATTAGGAATTAAATCTGCATTTTAAAAAACTGCTATTTATATATGCTAAAGTCTAGTAATATACCCTTATGTACCCAAGCAGTCAGTTCAGAAAAATGAATGGAACATACCACCTGATGCCCACATCAAAGCACTCTGAGTTCCAATCTTATCCATAACTTTGATTTGTAGTTAATTCTGTGAAAATGTGCAGTAAAGGTGTATATACATTGTGCAGGCGCTGTGGCTCACGCCTGTAATCCTAGTACTTTGGGAGGCCGAGGCAGAAGTAGCTTGAGGCCAGGAGTTCAAGACCAGCCTGAGCAAGAGCAAGACCTCATGTCTACAAAAAATAGAAAAATTAGCTAGGCATGGTGATGTGAATTTTTAGTCCCAGCTACTCAGGAGGCTGAGGCAGGAGAATCACTTGAGCCCGGAAGTTCAAGGCTGCAGTGAGCTATGATCACATCACTGCACTTCAGCCTGGGCAAGAGTGACACCCTGTCTCAAAAAAAAAAAAAAAAAAGTACACACAGCTATGTACTGACCCAGATTCCCTTGTTTAGTAGCTCTACTTGTTAATGTACATATTTAGCTACACACACTTTTACATATATACACATACACACTCACACTTATTTATAAATATATAGGATATATGTACACACAGTTTTATATGCACACATATTAATGTATCTTCAAGGAAATGTGTTAGTTTGTACAATTTTTTTATTTCATAATTTCTCTTTTCCAAATACTAGATGGAAAAACTCAAAGCACCAAGATATTGCAGAACTTTCTCAGGATCACAGAAGGAAGAGAACAGGAGTGTGGGGCTGGATACTCAGCAGTCTCCCTGAGGCTTTCCTGAGAGCCATCTCCCGGTATGTGAAATAACGGAGAGCCTGGAATACACCTCAGTATGCCTATATTCCCTGGTTCTGCAGCTTTGTGAGAGCTTCTTTAAAGATATTATTTTATAAATTATTTTTCTTGCTTCATTTAATCTTTCCAATTTGCCTCCAAACCACTGATCAGTCTCTCCAGCTATCTGGATCTTACTTGCATCGTCATCTCTGTAAAATGAGAGGGTTGGACAAGACTGTCTTTACAAGGGACTTCCAGCTTAATCTGGGATCCTTAGTGACTTCTCAGGACCAAGGGACAGTGGCGGGGGGGCGGGGGGACACTGGCAGAACCCCTATGGTGTATAGGTTTCTTTTTTTTTTTTTTTTTTTTTTTGAGACAGAGTCTCACTGTGTTGCCCGGGCTAGAGTGCCATGGCGTCAGCCTAGCTCACAGCAACCTCAAACTCCTGGGCTCAAGCGATCCTTCTACCTCAGCCTCCCGAGTAGCTGGGACTACAGGCATGTGCCACCATGCCCGGCTAATTTTTTTCTATGTATTTTTAGTTGTCCAATTAATTTCTTTCTATATTTAGTAGAGACGGGGTCTCGCTCTTGCTCAGGCTGGTTTCGAACTCCTGAGCTCAAACAATCTGCCCGCCTCGGCCTCCCAGAGAGCTAGGATTACAGGTGTGAGCCACTGCGCCCGGCCGGCTGTGTATAGGTTTCTATTCCCTTGAATTTGACCTTTAAGAGCTTCCAGGTTGGGGAAGCTTTACTAATGTCTATATTTGTAAGGTAAAAGTGAAATCTGTATAGCTAGAAGGAAGCTGGACATTTCTATAACAAAAACAATGGTTTCACCTGCTACTTAAGGGTGGATGCCTATGGGCAGGGAACGCAAATCTGAAAAGCCTAACAAAATATAATCTTTTTAGAAGTTGAGCTTATAGTGCTTAAGGGAAAAAAAGCCATAATCTTTAAAACTAATATTCCAAAATAAAAATGATTACCCACATTACTTAGCATTTCTCTTTCTTACACACACACACACACACACACACACAAAATGGAAAATTAACCAAATCATTGTTAATAGGAAAGTCTCACTATTACCAGTGGCCACTGGTAAGAACATTTGTTACTAATGTTCCTGATACTGTAGGAAAAAGGTTTGCTTTCTCCTGGGAAATATAAGTTTGGTTTATAGTTTACTGATTGAGTGAGTCAAACCAACTCAAAATGTTTCATTAAATTTGAAACTCCTGGGCTCTTCCAGAAAACGTCTAGAATGGAACTGGTCCACAACACCAAGCTGGGAAAAGTGCGCAGAGAGAAGTAAGAGCGTGCAGCCCAGCTGTGGGCTCTGCCTGCTCCTCCCATGTGTCTGAACTGCAGTCAAATGTCCAGCAAGAATGAATGGCTCAGGGATGCACCGCTCCACATTTGTGCTCTCCCCTAAACTCTCAGGCAAGTTAGACTATTTGAATCTATCCTCCAAGCTCCACTTCAAGAAATATAGAGTCAGAGAGAGGGAAGAATTATTAAAAGACTTTTCTAGGCTACTCAACCATCTGTTTTATCCTTAAAAGATAGAAGAGCTCAACCTTAAGAAGTTAAAGCAAAAGCAAACAAAGTAAAAAACATCATACTTGGTAAGCAGAAATATCTCCCAAAGCACTTTTATTTAAGGTATGGTATTTTAATTAAAGAACTTAGCACATTCTATTTGCTAAGCAGAAATTATTTCTAAGGAGCCAAAACGCATTTATTGATTTCTTCATTTTAGCCTATTCCCACAGATAAATGTATCTCCAACTATAAATCCTGTTTGCTGACAAAGAACATACCCTTGCTTCAGCACATGCAATCTTTGAATGCAGCCATCTCATCTCCCTTTTAACTCTTTTGGGTTACAGAGAAACAAACAAAAGTGTCATAAAAGCATTTCAAAGAACCTCTGCCAAGAAAGCCACCTCCCAAACAGACTGCAGTTTATGCTGCTCTGAGCAAGAACTGGAAAGGCTCGGCCAAACTGTCAACACAGAACAAAGTTGGATTACAAATCCTGTCTTTCATCTTGCAAACACACACACACACACACACACACACACACACACACACACACAAACACCCTCCCGTATTTTGGGTTATCTTTATTTAGGCTTTCAGTGGCAAGCTTCCCAATCACTTGAAAATAATCAAAGGGCAATAATAAACATGCATTTACTTTCCTATAGAAAACATTCACAGCAAGCTGTAACAAAGCCAAGGTAACCATGCAAATGTGGGTTACAATTTATTCTCTTTTAAAGTTTCATGGCATTGTGCCTTGGACATGAGGCCTATCATTAAATAATATTTAGCTGGTACCTCTGTTCCTTCATTTAATAGAATTAGAATACCCAGCTTTTACTGAGACTGAAAAATACCCTCTCTCCAATGGCATTTTTACACACACACACACACACACATACACACACACACACACACACACACACACACACACACATCCGAGAAAAAACAAAGCTGGGAAGAATTCGTTGGTACAAAATGAGAAATCAAGTTGTTGCATGGCTCAGGTGCTTGCTATTATAAACTATGACTAAGAGACATGAATTTCTCTGTGATGCAACTCTCAAGAGGCAGCATTTTCTCCAGGCCTCTCTTAAACCTGCTCATTCGCCAGTGACTAATGCTCTCTAGAGCAGCCCTGTGCTGCTCAAATTTCATCAGCCAGCTTTGTCCTTGATAGCTCTGCCCCCCCCCCCATAAAAGCTCCCAGACCTGTTGAGGACAGCCCCAAAAGATCAGTGCAAAGCTACCCATGCCCCTGCTCATATTGAGAGCCACCTTTTGAGCTTCCCACAGTATTTTATTATCTCAAGTAATGAGCACTTAATGACCATTTTAAGAAAAAGTTTTACCCTTCTTTGAACAGAAAAGCCATAGCAACTACATAAAAAATAAGACTAAATCAGGTCACTCTGTGACCACCTCTTGTCAGCTGAGAAGTAGAGACAAAACTGACAACATGTTGGGTGAAACTAATATTAACTGGAATTTTCCATTAACTATTTTCTGCACCTTTAAAAGAACAAAAATGTCAGTTTCATGATTCACATCAAGGACTTAATTTATAAAACAAAGAAAAAAAGCTATAAAGTAATGTCTGACTACTAGATGTTTGGTCCAACATCTTATATATTATGTTAGTTAATTTACAATTTTGAGCTTGAAGCTTTGCAATATTCTTAAGGCAAAAAGAAATGTAAGATGAAATTATGTTCAGTCAATCTTACCTGCAATAGAGTAGAAGTACTTTAGAAATAATTTTAATAAAGAATAAAACAAAAGTTTTCAGCATTAACTCTGAATTATTAAAAGAAACTAAATGTATACCACTGTCCAAATCTGCTGGCTTACAGCTGTAAGGAGTATTCTAGACATGGTGTTCAAGACCAAACAATTTCAGAACAAATGCACCCCCACCAGAAAGGTACTTACAGTTATCAGACTGAAAATCTGGGACAAATTGTTCATCATCAGGAACTTGTGCTGGAAAAGAGATTTTTATTTTAGACCTTTAAGTTTTATTAAAAAGCACAGTAAAATGTTTTATATGGAAAATAGGACATCCAAGAAACTTGCCTTCAGCTAACCAAGCCTCTTGAAGTTGACTGAGATCCTGAAACAACTCTGGAATTGAAAACAGAAGACCCCAGAATGAGGATATTTCTTCTGCTGGGGAGAAGAGGGGGAAGGCTCTACATGCTGCTGGTTCTGGGAGTGATGTGAGGAAGCCACAAAATAGGAGGGGAAGCTTACTACCTTCAGAATCATGAGCCAGATCTGTGTCCAAAAACTTCCTCTTTCTGTCAATCACAGGCCGCCCTCTACATTCCTCAGACCGAGATTTCTGAAAGAGGCCAACAGACAGTGAAGACTCAAGTGCAGTAAAGAGGTCCAAAGGGGTTGACCCACTAAACCAATAAGGAGAAGACTCATATTGAGGAGGGAGGACAAAACAAACCAAAAGCCACATAAACTTACCCCTGGGACCATAAAAGGGACTTGCTGATCATAAAATCCATCCATGGTGCTTCCAACGTCTCTAATATCACTTTGGAAGATTTCAGCATTGATTAATTTCTGGGGGAAAAGGGATCCTCCTGCAATATGAATTTGGTAGATTTAACTGAGAGAAGGAAAAAAAGAGAAATAAAATAATTTTTTGGTCTTTTATAGGGCCTCTGCAAAATCACTATCCTTCTGTGAGGTACTTAAAGCCTATTCAAGGTGTAAGCTTTACAGACCAATGCTAGGCTTGATTAATAGTATTAGAGGTGCACAGTGTACTTAGCGCCAAAACCATTTATTTACTCAGTCATCATTTTCTTTTTTTTACTCATTAAAATTATAGATTTGGTGCCGCCTGTCCCCTACAAAAAAAAAAAGTCCTATTTTTATTAGAAAAGGGTGATTTTAAGACTCTCTCATATAGAAGATCCTCCAGGGCATTTGTAGTAGGGTTTTAAAAAAAGAGATAATTTAATTTTTGACAGTACAGTGATGGGAAGTAGAGAAACTGGGTTTAAGTATTCCAAAGTACTGGCAATTAAGAATCTGACATACATGGTATTTCTAAAAGTATTTTGTAGGTCAGTGGTAAAACACTATATATAGTTCCAGGGATAAGTTGATCAGAGGTATACTTATCTCCACATACAACTATTTAAAACCTAAACCTCTGTCCAAACAGGTGTAGTGTCTGTAATGTCACAAATATCTCCATGGCAACTTAGAGATATCTGTGCTATCTCCAACTTCTCAAGGAATAAAATATCTATGAAAAGTAATGGATAAAGGAAACTAAATTCCATTGCATGTATTTAAAATACATCTTTACAAAACGTCTTTTACAACGTGTTAAAAGCAAAAGATTCACAAAAAGAAAACGCAGTTTGTTTCTTACAGCAAAGTCAATTTTCCTAGACATACCAAAAAAATAAAATTAAACTCATTTCAGCAATGATAACTGTTGGGCTGGGAAGACAGGATGGGGGTCAGAAGGGAAAAGAGAGAACTTTTTCTAATTTGGGAGGAATCACGTAACAATTTTAGGAAGGTACTTATCTTACTAAACACTTTGTTTTATTCTCCAAATAAAAATACAGTTAACAAAATGGAGGAAAACATTTATTTCACTCACTCCAGCTCTAAGCAATGCAAAATGCTTAAAGGAGTATTTCTTTTGTTTAACTTGTATACGAATTTTAAATAAAAAACTTTTTTTCCCAGTGGGCAATTCCATCCAATTTGTTTTTCACACTGTGCAGAGCATATCAAATTTTCATATGTGAGCAGGATACAAGGAAACCCTTCACAGCCAGCCTCCTCCCCAGCACTTTGACTCAAGTAATCAGATATTTTCAAAGTCAAAGGAAACAGAGGAGCAAAATAGCACACAGTTCATAACTTCCTAGAAAAACACTCCCGCCAGCCTGCTTGCCTGCCTTCCAAACAGCATAAAAACGTTCAGAATAAAGCCTGTCTCTCAAATGTCACCAACCCGTAGACAAAATCTGAGAAACCTCAGCAGTGAGTTGAGGAGCATGAAAAAGAGATCTCTGTCGCCGATGAAAATCTGTCAGATTAAACAGTGGCCTTAGAAATCCTATAAATGTCTGTTGGAGGGAAGGGACCAGTAGGAGACGGAGGGGGAGGTATTTTCAGAGTTTCATGATGAAATACTTCACCTTGAAGAGCAAAAACATATTTTAAAAATTTAAATAAAGGAAAGAAACTGCCATAAGCGAACCCAAAAGAGCATCGAGGATCTTTAAAGCAGCTCTCAGAGTTCAAGGGCTAGAGAAATTGTGTTCAAAGTATAATTTTTTTTTTTTAGCCTGAAGGGAAGGCTCGAGTTTATCCAGGAGTTTAAACCACTTCCTTTGTGCCCCCCGCCCCGGGTGCCCCCAGGAAAACTTTAACACGGCGCAGCGGCGCGATCAGGCCCCTCCCCCGTGGCGCGCAGCGGGCCCGGTTTTATGAATGGGAGAGCGAGCCGCGGCCGCCACATCAGGTAGAGGCTGTAACTGGATCTCTCGCGCTGGGCCCCATTCACAAAACAAGACACACTTCCACCCAATTCCCAGCCTTCCCCATTCATGAAAACTCCTTCAGCTGCGCCCCCGCCCCCGCTCCCAACGCACGCCCAGCCTCCGACGCAGGCCCCTCACCCCAGCGTTTTAGGAAGAAAGCTCTATGCTTCATTCACAAAAAGGGAGAGGGAAAAAAAAAAAAAGCCGCAGGGAGCAGCGAGCCAACGAAAGAAACCCGCTTCATTCATAAAGTCACCCACATTCATAAAAACGAGGTGCGGCGCCCAACGCTACCAGCCGCCTCCAAGCCACCCCCACCCCCAACATCTCTCCTGGAACCCCCTCCCCGACCAGGAGTTCGGTTCCCCCTGGAGTTTCCTCCCCCCTCTGAAAATGCGGCCAGACCCCCAATCCAGCGCGAGGCTCCCAGCATCTTTCCGTTCCCCCTCCACACCCGTTTTCTTCCCACCATCCCCAGGCTGCTGTTTTGGTGCTCCCCGATCTTTCTCGGGAGTCGCCGCGCAGCCCAACGCCCTCAGCCTGCTGGAGGTGGGAGCAGGGGGACTGGGTGTCCACTTCCCACAACCTTAAACTTGAAAGGCCAGCATAAGTTCCCGGCCGACCCCCAGCCCCGCGGGCTGCACATGCCTATGTCACTTAACCCCTCCTGGTGCTCTGGGGGGCAGCACCTCTCAAATCTTCCCCCGCAAACTGCTTCCCGCCCCCTCCTCCCAACTGCAAAGCTCCGCCAAGCGTCTCTTCTCGCGAGCCTCCAAGTCCCCTCGGGGCTCTCAGATCTCCAGAGACTGCAAAAGCCTCGCAACTCCGCGCTCCCCCATCTCCACCCGGAGCCCCCGCACCTCGCGCTCCGGCGCGCCTCCCCCACGGCGTGCGGAAACCCGCTCTCCGCGCGCTCCGGAACCGTTAGCCGCACCCGCCCGACGCCTCCCAGGAACCGAACCGAACCGGGCCGCGGGGGGAGGGGGTCAGCCCCAGGGGTGGCTCACCCCAGACAGTGCACCCGAGTTTGAGGATTCCCAATCAGCCCGTGAACTCTTGCCGGCTGGGCCTTTCGGACCCGTTGCTGGATGCCCTCTTTGAATGCCCCCTGCCCCCGCAACGCCCCCTCACCTGAGGCGGCCGCTCTCCTCCCCTTGCAGCGGCCCCGGCGGCGCAGGCGCGCTCACGCACGCGCGCACCGGGCCTGGGCGCCTAGGCGAAAAGCTGGCTGGGCCGAACCGCTCCGGAGACCGAGAACCGCTCCGCGCACCAGCGGCTGGACTCTGCGCTGCAGCTGCCAACCAGGCTGGAGCGCTGGCCCGGCCCCCCGCGGCCCGCTGCTCCGCCCGCCGCCATTGGCCTGGGGCCTAGTCCAGCCTCGTTCCCATTGGTTCTAGGCCGTTCCCGCAGCTGTCCATCACCTCTTGTTTACCCTGTCTGCGGGCAAATCCAGCCGAGCCGCCTCATCAACTCCGGCCCCCATTGGCCAACAGTGCGTCTCTCTCCACCCCTTCAGGGGCCTGTTTTACATAATTTATGCACCGGGGGCCTTTGGCCAATCAGCACAGGGTGTTTATATAATGAATGTAAGGACGTTTTTCATTCATAAAAAACGCGACCTGAGGGGGAAGCTTAGCTGAGTCAGTGAAGCACTTAAAGGGGCCGAGACCAGAAGGAGCCGCCGTTACTTCCCTTCTAGCTGCTCTCCCGACTTTTCGCCAAGGTGCGACTCTTCTCCTTTCCCCACTTACCCCCACATCTCCATCCAGGAAGGCCACGGCCAGTTTGGGTCGCTTGGCGCCAGACTTTCGCAGCTGCGGCACCAAGCGAAGTTATCGTTTTAGAATTCAGGCTAGAGGAATTCGTCATTCCACACAGAGAAACTCGCTGACCGACCTGGGCGTTTGGCCCACAGAAACACAGAAAACGGAAACCAAGCCCTCTAATCTTAGTTACCTTTAAGAGAGGCCTTAATTTCTTTTAACCAGGTTTCCAGTGGGAAGAATAAGCAGTATCTCCCTTTAAAATCTGAGCTCTCAAACAGATTTTAGTTGCTATTTTATACTGGCAAGGCCTAAGGCCCAGCCAAATCGCGTTTTCCCTTTATGTTTAATTGCGACTCGTAACCTCCACCAGAGTGGGTTCTGGAGTCGAGGTGAGAAAGGGTCGGGGCTCAAAGAAATCCTCTTCGGGTTAGCACCAGCCAGTCAACCGACCTAGATACATAAATCCTTCCGAAATGTGCATGCAGAGTTAGACCACTTTCCTCCCTCCCCAGGCTGCTTGTTTTCCATTTAAGTGTTGAATGCAAGATGGTGTATTTGCGAATTAGATCCCGTGCAGCTGGGAAAGACGAGAAGCAGCTCTGCTTGCCAAACCATAGGGCACTAACTGCAATTGCTGAGATTCTTAACGGGGTGTTCCAGGAAAAAAATAAACAAGCAATCCTCTACTGTCTGCCCCCTCTATCCCTCCTGTGAAGGCCGTGGGGCGCTCTATCCTCTCCCCTAGGATGATGGGGGCCTGTGAGGGGGCTCTTCTGCTGGTGTGGCCAGCCATTCACCCCGTGTGCCAGCGGTGGGGAAGAAAGATGCCATATGTTAGGAGAGAGCCCCTAGCAAAGGGGGTCCCAGGGTAGCCAACCCTGGGGCTGCCCCCACTCCGCACGGTGGAGAATACAGTGTGAATTTTTAGAGAAAAAGAAATTATTTTAAAGTCAAAATTTTTCCACCTTCTTTTCTACTTCCACTGTGTGTCTTAACAGAGCAGGCGCTTCGCCCGTGGTTTATGACCCTTGAAGTGTTCAAGTGCACCTAAGGTACCTGGAGCACCCAGGTTGAGTCCTGGGCCCAGCAGTGACCCCGCGTGAGCTATTGACTTTTTGAGAGACAAGAATGGGCATGAATGGATGGGTGGAAAGCCCCCTGAACTTTTAACAAGCAGTTCCTTGATTTTTAATTTCCTGGTTGAGCATTTTGCTTCCAACTCCAGTTTTCTTGTAGTGCCTTTCTTCATTCCCCAGGTAGAACCATTTCTGTTTGGTGCCTGGAGATTTTACTCTAGTCTGTTTGTGCTCCCAGCATGTTGCTGACATCCCTGAGAGCTCTAGCTCCCCAGCTCAGTACAGGGCACAGGTTAGCTCCCAGATACTCCTCCTCCCAGCTTTGTCTACCCCTACTCCTACTCCTCCCCGATCTCATCCCATGTCATTCTGCTCTCTAATCTCATTTTTCCAAAAGAGCTTTCTTATACCTCTCTGCTTAAATATTTCAAGCTCCAGCCCTCTGGACTGCTTGTAGCCAACAGGGCCACATGTCCTCACCATATAAACCATAGCACATCAATCATACTTTATAACTTTGGCTACAAGAAAACAGTGTAGGATACTTCATAGCAACTCTCTCCACAGGGTTGGACTTGATGTCTGTAGTGTGGTTCTTGTGACCTTTGCCTCGGGCCAAGGCTCTCCATCTGCCTTGGAAAGAGAAGGTGGGTATTTCTGGATTAGCAGTAACAAAATGGTGGCTAAGTTGGGGGCAGGGGAGGAGTTGGGTGATAGATACATTTTTTAAGAAGGTTGTCATGAACATGATCACGTGTACACATGATGTAGGAAGTTATGCCAGAATAGAGCTATGGCCAATTAGTTATTTAGTCATCCAGTAAACATTCAGTTTGTACCAAATATTCAGTCAGAGCCTGTGCCAGACAAAAGAAAGATGAATAAGACCCAGGCTTTGCCTTGGAGAAGCCTATAGTCTATTGCATAATGTCAGTAGCTGGGGTTTACTGAGCACTTAATATATGACCTGTTCATGCTGTATATAATTCTCTGGAGATTATCTCACTTAATCCAACAATAGTACCAAAGTGGACAAGTTATTAATATTTCCATTCCATAGACAAAAAACTGAGGCACAGAGAGTTTAAGTAGTTTGCCAGTGGTCACAGAGCTAATATGTAGGTTGCTGAATCTGGTAAGAACCAAGGTGATCACACACCAGAGCCCATATGTGGAAGACCTAGCATGTAGCCTCTGTTACTCAGCAACCCCTGAGGAAACATAATTTGAATGCTGAGTGGTAGAGGATGGAACTGGTTGAAGTCAAAGGGAGGAAGATTTGAGCTCAGTCTAGTATTAGGAAGGACTTTGGTATGTTTGGAGTGTTCCAACAAAGGAATACTGCATCTAGTAAGGAGTATCCTGTTGTGGGAGGCATTTATGCAGAAAGACTCAGAGATAGTGTAGACAGACTAAGGTACTGGCCAGGATAGATGAACTTTGAGCATTCTTCCATCTCTAAGAGTCTACGATTCTGGGAATTTGGAGCTTTGTGTTGGACAGGGAGGTCCATTCTGGGCACAGCCATGCTGCTTCATGAAAAGTGAGCGTACAGGCTGGGTGGCTCACACCTATAGTCCTAGCACTCTGGGTGCCCGAGGCAGGAGGATTGCTTGAGGCCATGAGTTCAAGACCAACCTAAGCAAGAGCAAGACCCCATCTCTACCAAAAATAGAAAAAAATTAGCCGGATGTTGTGGCATGTGCCTGTAGTCCCAGCTACTCGGGAAGCTGAGGCAGGCGGATCGCTTGAGACCAGCAGTTTGAGGCTACAGTGAGCTATGATGATACCACTACACTCTAACCCAGGTGACAGAGTAAGACCCCCTCTCAACAACAAAAAAAAGTGAGGGTACAGCCTGTGATTACTTATATTGCCAGGCCAGCTCCTAGGCCCAGAGAGTTTCTTATTATTCAACGTTTACTGATGTCTTCTCTCCACTCCTCTTCCTTTTCTTCTGCTTCTCCTTGGGATTTATTTACCTCCCCTGCTCCGATCCCCATCCCACTCTTCTTCTTGTGTTATCTTTGCCTTTATAAGAGTTAAGGGTCATGTTTAGAAGTTCTTTGTCTAGTACATAGAGTCTTTCCTCCTAAGAATGTTACTTATACTGGAGGTTTAGTCGAGCATGTGTTCCAATTGTTAAATTCCCTCTCCTCCAGGAGAGAAACAAGATGGGAAAAGAAAACAAAAACAGAGACCAGCCCTGTGGAACATTCATCTAGTGTCAATCTTGCCTTTGTCCTCTAGCAGTAGCAAAACTTACTTAATCACAGTAAGATAACTAGACCCTTGTTCTTTAAACTCAATTTACTGTGTGTCTTCAGGGAAACAATGTGAAAGAATAGGAAAAAAAATACCTTACCCCAAGCCTGAGAGCTTCTGTTACTAGAAGACTGCTAGTAGTATTTTCCTCTAAAATACCAAAAGAGGGTTAAAGTGTAAGGCAGGCAATCCTGTCTTGAGCTGATCACCAAAATGATGATGGGAAATGTGGAAACATCACGATCTTGGACCCTCACGTTGGGACAATGCCTCCTGTGCTCTGTTAGAAATGCCACAGTGAATATAGTCCTGTCCAGAGGCTGGGGTGTGGGCTACCCAGGCCCGGTGTCCTTTCCCATTCTTGTGGAGTGGTGGGAAGGGACTTGAGGACAGGGTCCAAAAGGTATAGAAACGTGTTTCTTTTCTTCAAGGGAGAAATGAAGAATTCTATCTTCCTTTCTAAAGTTCAGAAATAAAGTCCCTAAAGACTGAGGGGAGAAAAGAAAATCTTTTTCGATTCAATGTTTCTTTAAACAAATAGGGGCCATATTGTCTTCAGGGTTCCTTCTAGCCAGGGAATAGTAATAGCTGACATTTACTGTTTAATATGAGCCAGACACTTTGCTAAAGACCACACATGTATTGGCACACTTAATCCCAACAACAGCCCTCTGAGGGAGATGCTATTATTATCACCTCCACTTTTCACAGATGAGGAAGCTTAGGTACAGAAAGGTTCAATAAATTGCCCCAGATCACATAGCTAGCACATAGTAAAAGGGGCAGTGTACCCAAGCTGGCTCCTCCAGAGCCTGCCTGTGAGCCACTCGGCTGTGCTGCCTCAGCCCCATGAAGGTGTGTGTGCTTAATGCCAGCAGCCAGCACTGAAAGAGCACTTTAATGTACCAGGTCCCATTTTGAGGCTTTGCTTATATTAACCCACTCAATCTTCCTAACAACACTGTGATGTAGATACCATTATTATCCCCACTTTATAGATGAGGAAACTGAGGCACAGAGAGGTTAGGTAACTTGTCCAGGGTCACATGGCTAGTAAGCGTTGGAGTCAGGCTCCGAATGCAGATCTTGAATGGGGTCCTTGCTCTTACACACTCTGCTACACTGCCTTAGTTCCTACAGTCTCTCACTCTGTCGTCATCTTGCCTTTGGATCTATCTCTCATCTTGCCTTTGGGGCTTTG